TTCCTTTGGAAATTCACGATGCCCTGTAGGTTTGTATAACCTCCCTCTTCACCCCCATTTATTCTTACACTTTTGTTAAGTGTAATGTGAAATGTTGCTACATTCCTTTTCCTTGATTAGAATGCTTTAATGTTAGACAAATGATTTTAGGATTGTTAATTCTATACTTCAAATAATATTTTACAGACAGAAACCTTTTCCATATTTTAAATATAAACATATCACAGAAACCAGAATTTTCTCTAGTCCGTTTATGACATTTCACTTTATAACGCACAATACATTATTAAAGTCCCAATGAATATATTTTTTAATAGAAGTTGCCTGCTTTTATACCAGCAGTATTACAAAGGCAGACTTAAAATAATATTTCTTTAACAAAAAAGAAAATATATATAGTGTCTTATGTGGCTTGTCCAGTCAATTTACTCCCTTAAGTAAAAAATAAAGTTACTTAAACTGTCCCTAAAATTTTAAGTCGTCATTCTCAGATGATCCTAGGCATCTAGCAAGGACAAGTTTTAACTTGTTCTGGCTGGTGTTGAGGTGTTCATACAATGTAGATTTGAGACTGTGTCAGCCCTGCTATAGTTGAAGATGGAAGATATCATCATCATAGATAAAACAATGAAGACACCATCAACTGGAGATCTGTTCAAGGAAGAGCTGATGGGAAGTGATCTTAGTAAAATTCATCCTAGTTGTGCTTCATATTTTGAACTTTGGTATATGTGTCCCTATTACCTCAGATTGGAGTATTTTCCTACTAGTTGTACAATATATATATTCCTTGGAGATGCGTTTCTTCTAGAAAATATCTCACCCAGACTCAGGTCCTATAATGCAGCTGAGATTTGCCCGATCAAACATGAAGCGCTCTGATGGTTGAAGAATGAGGAAAAGAAAACCAGCTTCTGAAAGTGCCTCCAGGATAACATTTTCCTAGATAAGAAATTTCTACTCCAGCACTGAAGACCAACTTTCTCATAGGGGCAGTAGGGGTATTTATGCTATTTTTCTACTTTGCATACAGACTAAAAAAGACTTTAAAAAATGCTACAATTGCAGGCACATTTTAGCCGTATGAACTAATTCAGAACTGAATACATGCTAGGAAATATTATTTTTCTTCATCTTGCAACCAATTTACTTCATTAGACTATAATCTATTTCCTTACTATTTCTTACACCTCCTTTTCATCAAGATTTCACTGTCAAACTCCTCTGAATTTCAATTCATTACATCTTCTATAAATCAAGACAATTCTGACTTTTCAGAAGTTACTTTAGCCACCAGCCTTTTCTCCCTGCTCCTTCCATACGGCCCTCTATAGATATTTCTCACTGGTAAATTCTTTCCTTACTCAGAGTTTTATGGGCAGTTCTCTGTTCTAAGTCTAGTCCACTATCCTCATGTTCTGACATTTCAATTCCCATCCCCCTTTTATCTTACTTGTTCTTTTTCACTTTATTTAGTTTCCAGATCTCAGCTCACTCAATAGGACTGTGACAATGAATGGCACAACGCCTTTCTTTTAGGGACATACCCCTTTCAATGGAACCTGGAATTCCCTATCAATTCAACTAACTGTCCTGTACAGTGTGCATGGGGCAAGTTAGGCAGTTCAGAAAGTATTCAAATAAAAAAGCATAGAGCAGAAACCCCCTAACTCAGCTGGTAGGGAAACACAAAATAGGACTGGATCTTAAATCTTACACTTGTCTGAGCATTAAGAGCATATTCAAGCCGGCAAATAGTTCCTTTCTTCATTAAGAAGAGAAAGTCAAACTTTGTTTGGCAATGCAGGGGATACACATTAAATTCTCACTCCTGCCATGAGAAATCACTGGTTGTGATTTTTGCTTACCAGAAATCTAAGCATTTCTTCAGCATCCTTAAAGTCAAGCATCATAAATCAAATTTCTAGAGACACTATTCTGAAGGCTGAAGGGCTCACTCTGAATTTTATCTGACTCATGGAAGTTTTAAGAGCAATACAAGGCTGTTCTCAGAACCATGCATAAGGAGAAACAACCATAAAACTGTTAATCTAACACCTTCTTTAGGCCCTCAAGATCCCAGTGTATGGTCATCTTCAATGAAAATAGCTAGTTCTGAGTCTCAACTGCACACAGCTTATCCACACTAAAACTGGGTTATATATATATCAAAACTATAATAAAAGCTTACAAGTGGTAAGGAACAGAAGCCAAAAACATATTGTTAAAATTACTTATAAATATTTAACAGAAATTATGACCGACCATAATAATCACATTCACGCTCTCAGTTTCTAAGTCTTCAAGACTAAGTGCTTTTCTGGATACTGTTCTTCAAACAAATGCAAGTTACTTGGATCAATACAAGAATAAATGAGATGATAAACTTAATACACTGTGATATACAGAAAGTCAGATTGGATGATCTAATGACTTCTCATCACTTTATAATTTAATTAGCTACTAGAAACTAATAACAAGTTGAGCCATACTTCCCATCAGAGAATCTTAGAAATCCAGTTTTGGAGAAATTGTGAAGAATCTACCAGAATATACATATTACCATTAACATTCTCTTTTAATCACAAGAGAATTTTATTCCTCAGTTCAACATTTTTTAACAAAAACAGTATTCCACAGCAACTATATCATTAATAAAAACATGATCTCTAAAAATGAAATCCTCCCATTCTAATTTGAGTGCTTTTTTAGTGTATGTTATATATTCAGTGTAGACATGTCACTTAAATGCTTCTATTTTTCATTTGACAATGAAGCCAATTTCCTATTTCCCATGTATGCCTGAAGAGAAAAGCAATCATTGTGGCACAGCCAAAGAAAAAAGCTTACAATGCTCCCTGAAACCATTATTTTACTCACAAATGCAAGTATCTTCTAGTACATTCATTAATAATATGCGCTCAAGGAAGCAGGAAGTCAAGAGAAAGTAATAACTTGCTTGATTTAGTAAGAGAGGCATTCAGTCATGTTATGGGTGAATGGGGAGTGATGAGTGGATAGCACAAAATATTATAAGCCTTGAAGATTTTTTGCCCACGTACTCTTTCCAGCTTTTACTGAAGGTATCGTGGTTTAACCCCAGCCAGCAACTAAGCACCCCACAGCTGCTCACTCACTCTCTCCTGACGGGATGGGGGAGAGAATCAGAAAAGTGAGAAAACTCGTGGGTTGAGATAAAGACAGTTTAATAAGTAAAGCAAAAGCCGCATATGCAAGCAAAGCAAAACAAGGAATTCACTGCTTCCCATCGGCAGGCAAGTGTTCAGCTATCTCCAGGAAAGCAGGGCTCCATCATGCATAACAGTTACTTGGGAAGACAAACGCCATAACCACGAATGTCCCCCCCTTCCTCCTTCCTTCAGCTTTATCTACATGGTATGTTCATTTAACACCGTGCTTGCAGTGCAACTTTCTTTAATCACTGTGCATCAGATAAAATCTAATGAATATGATTTCTACTTATATTTCAAATCAGCATTTGACACGTCATGCAAGCTACAGGAGGCAGCGAAAGCCTCGAAGAGCTGAGATTTCAGAATTTTAAAAGACCTTATATAAAAGAAGCCAAAAGATAGGGATTGAAAAAAACACAGACGTTAAAAAAAAATCCTGTGATCACAGGATATATTGTTGGCTATATTGTTTTTCTCAGATTCTAATGAAAGTCTAAGCTCTTCAAATCAATTCTTGTCATCATGCCAGCTTTACATGATAAAATAGCTGCATATATTTAAATTATTTTCATGTATCTGTGGAATAACCTGCATAAAAGATGTAGTTGCATAACATACAGATTAGAATGAAGATGTGGTATTGTAGGTTTTTTGTTGTTAAACACGTGACTTAAATTCACAGCAAGGTCACATATTACTATAAGAGATGTTATTAACAAGAATTGCAGAACTATGAGTGATTTGGAGGAGCTCTTTCCTCAAATATGTTTTCCTTTATCCTATGTTTTTGAACTCATGCAAGTAAAGGAGGAAGGAAATGAAGATTATGAAAATTACATGTGTTTTAAATTATTTTTGTTCAGATCTTATACAATTGCTTTTGGATTCTAGAATTCATCTACTTCAGTGCAACTACAGTGTTTTTTTCATACATAATATAAATGAGATGATACTTGCCCAGTGATTATCTCGCATGATAGGTGGGCTGGAAATAAGTGTTTACTTCCAACTCCTGCTTTTGATCAGCAAATTGATAGCTTCCATTTCAGTCTGCATTGGAACTTTTAGCAGTTGCATCAGCTAATGATTGGAAAAACATGTCATCCACAACTCAGTGTTGGTCAACCCATGTAAACAAAGAAGGAAACTTCTTGATAATAGAAGGTGCCTAGTATTTTTAGAGTCATCACAAAGTACTAACAATGCTGTGTTTTGAAGGAAGACCTAAAATATTTCCAGACCAAACTACGTGGATTTTATCAGTCTCATAACATCATGCTCTTTAAAATGATATGCTGGTGCTTAAAATGTAACAAGTGATTCTATGACTGTTTTATATATTTCATGCTTGAGTGAAAGATGACTGAAAGTGTATGAATATTGACAACAGAATCAATGTTTTAATGAAAATAGTAAGAATTAATAAAAATGTAAGACAAAATAACAAAAATTAAAAAAAATACCTTTTAACCGCTTTTGTTTCATAAAGAAGGAGGGGGAGAGAAAATTTTCAAAGCCAAAAATTTTAAAATATGAAACAGAGTAGGAAGATTGTGAGTCAAATCTTAAAAGCACAGATTAAACTGTAATCTGAAATCAAAGGGTAAACAAGTCTTCAATACTAAAGCTAAAGCCCTTAGAGACATATACTAAATAAAATGTACTGCCACTCATGAATACTATAGACAAAAAAATGGAGCACCAAAATAGAGATTGTACAGCCATGCAGGAAAAATAATATCTATTATTAAACTAATATTAAAAAGGTGATACATTAAAACGTATTCTTTTTTTAAATTCACTCACTTGTGACCAATCTCATGTGCAATGGTAAAAGCTGAACCTAGGCCAATGTCTTCATTAATGCTGCAGCTCCTTTCAGGCTCACACATTCCAGCCACAGAGGCCAAGCCTGAATAAACAGAAGGAGACACAAAGGTCATGCCAAAGTTTTTCAATCTTAAAAGCCCTTGTTATAAATGCCTGGATTCTTTTTAATAACCTCTATACACAGAAGGAGCAGTTTGCAAAAGGTTAACTTTCTAGTCATTTGCAAAAATCACTGGGGGGAATTTCACTTTGCCAGCTAGACATTAAAATTTTTTGAACTGCAGTCAGTGCTGGAAAATGTCTAGACTAGGGGTTAGATTTATAAATTTTACTTCTGGCAACTTGGGACCACCTAGTAACTTGAGCCAGGAGAGGGAATTCAAGAAAACATTTCTATTTTAACATTCTTGAGCCTGAAGAAAGCAAAATGCATCCACATTATTTTTCTAAAGAAATATTTAAGTTGAGTGGGTTCATAAAAACATACAAGCAACTTTTTTAGCTACGACAAGCCCCACATGGTACATTAAAAAAAAATATAAAAGCAAAACTGAATGCATCAATGAAGAGAGACGAAGCATTAATAGCAAGCATTCATTTAACCATTGAAGTCTTTTCCACTTATCACCCATCATCTTCTGGAATTAAAACCTTACTGTATTACGAGTGCTTTTAAAAATTTTCTTTAGAGAGAGAAAGCTCTTCCTTATCTTATATATTCTTTGGCAAAAGAGTATCATACAACATACTGCAGACATAATTTGCTGCCACTAGAGAAAGCTCTAAACATCAGATTTATTTAATGTATTCCTCCCTAAGGTTTCTTATCTAAAAAAAAAGCAGTAATCCTTTCTTTAAGGAAATTACCTGCTCAGATTACTACACTATAACAAAACAATGACTGGAAAAAGAGCTACTTCAAATTATTCTGTTTGGACTAACAGAAGCAAGTGATAAGATGACAAGTGCTTCCTGGCTGTGTCCATATTAGCAAGTCATATGGAGTCACAGGAGTTGGTCAGCAGAGTGAAGCACTGATATTGAGGCTTCTCACATATCTTTGTATGTACACATATCTCACATATCTTTGTATGGGGAGACCCCATCTGGAGTACTGCATCCACCTCTGGAGCCCCCAACATAAGAAGGACATGGATCTGTTGAAGAGGGTCCAGAGGAGAGCCACAAAGATGACCCGAGGGCTGGAGCACCTCTCCTATGAGGGCAGGCTGAGAGAGCTGGGGCCGTTCAGCCTGGAGAAGAGAAGGCTCCGGGGAGATCTTATTGCGGCCTTCCAGTACCTAAAGGAGGCCTACAGGAGAGCTGGGGAAGGACTTTTTACTAGGTCATGCAGTGACAGGACGAGGGGGAATGGATATAAACTGGAAGAGGGCAGGTTTAGATTAAACATTAGGCAACCGGGTCTAGTGGGAGGTGTCCCTGCCTATGGCAGGGGGGTTGGAACTCGATGATCTTCAAGGTCCTTTCCAACCTAAACCATTCTATGTTTCTACGATTCTATGAATTAAGAAAAATCTGTAATTTGTTTGCGGTGTGCAACCTGTAGAAAATATAATAATTACAGTTCACCTGCCTAAACTATGCTATTCTAATTGATTAGGACATTCTGAAGACAACATGGCAATACTTACATAAAAACTGTCATGTTCCCCTGCAAAGTTCACCACATTTGAGTGATGAAGTCATCTCTATCTTCAGATCTTATAACTGAACACTTGCTTCAGTGACTTACAGGACCAGATTAATGATTTACAGTTCCTTACCATCCATGCAGAAAGTGGAAGAGATCAAGTCCAAAACCCAGTCTATGGCTCAGATTTTAAAAAGGAGTTCTTCACTGGAGCCACAGAGGTACTACAAAGACATCTGAGGTCTATCTTTTCTAAGAGTTTCCATGCAAGATTCTCTATTTTAGGAAACTGGAATAGGAGAGAGACATCTATGCCACAGTAAATCCTTTGCTTCTGTTTCTTCCTAGAACACCAACGATTTAGCTTTCTTCTGACCTTTTGAAACCTGAGACTTTTGTTCACAGACACTTTAAATATATGCTTAACTTTATTTACTGGAGGTCAGTGCGACTTAAGCGTATTATGCCTTGCAAAAGAGGGCCACAGGGCCTTGCCTCTTCTCCAATTCAGTGCCTATAATGCAAATAAAGTGTCATGGTTCTGTTGCCAAGGGTCCCATAACAGTGAGTTGGAACTGATACCATATGTGATTTTAAAAAATAAAAATAAAAATCAAGCATTTGCCAAAGTCTACCCCCTGTTATACTGGATTCAAGGGAAGTATTTGCCTTTATGCCAAAGTCTGATACAGTAAGAAATAGTTCACTAATGATCTGTGTTAAAAATATCACATACAAATATCAAATAGTTCATCAGTGAATGTACGCCCTTTAAAGCTTTCTTCTTTTAAGACTACAATTGCAAAGACAATTATATAGACAGCCTCCTCAGTTTTGTCTCTTCTACACAGATGTTAAAAGAAAATCAATTACATTTAGGAATTCATCATCACTTACCTTTTACTAAAACATGCTGTGGATTTTGTTTATATTTACAGCAGGCAAAATTCTGATGCCTTTCCCCATGTAAACTACTTCCCTGTGCCACAAGCATCATGCTGACTTGAGAAAGACTTGTAGAAAAATCACTATGAGTTAAGGCTAGCAAAGCATACAGTAATACAAGGAAAGACAAAGCAAATTAAATTATGAGCTCTGATTATGAGAAAAGTATTAATAACTTGAACTAATTGAAGTAGAATTATGTCTTGAATTCTGGGAAAGAGGCTTATATGAAAGGATCCGAACTGGAAAAAAAAAGTATATACACTGAGAATAATGTTTCTTTCATACATTAAAGCACTGCTAAAGGTAACAACTATAGTATAGTAAATAACTTTTGGTGACAAAATTAGGTATGGAGAGAACGATAGTTCTCCATCCTGCACTAAAGGTTGCTATTGTTTCTCCTTTGTCAAAGCACTATTTTAAAGCGTTCAATATTACTGTAATTTATACCACTGTGTTATTTTTCTCTAAGTCTGTGAAATTAACAGTCTGAAGCTGTACTCCTTGTGTACAACAGACCAATAGCATAAATCTCAAAGCCTGTTTCTTCTGTAGGGTGTTTTTTGGGGGGTTGAGGTTTTTGTTGGGTTTGGTGGGTGGTTTTTTTTGTTGTGGTTTTTAGTTTAAACTTTCATAAGGTCTTTTATTTGTATTTTTAAAAAATTGATTATGGAGACAGGTTAAATAGAAATAAACAGTAAGTCCTCTCCTCTAATTATTGCTTGGTAAGTTTGAGTCATCTGCTAGGTTTTATCAGCATTAAAGCTGCCAAAGAAGAAAGGCCCATCAGCAGCTCACTTAATTTAAACTTCTAGCAATCTATCAAGGCATAAAACCATCTAGGTTGCCCTTTTGCTATTGATGTTTATAAAACTGCAAAATTTTGAAAGCATAAACTTAAAAAGATCTAATAGCCAAGTATAAAGCAGGGAAATACAGCAAATACAAGCTGAAATTTCTCTTTATAATCTTACCCAGTGTTCCACAAGGCTTGTTTTTATAAGTGCAGATATCATATCTGTTAAGGAGAAAAAAGTAGATAACATATGTTAGAGAATCAAATTTGTAAGATATTTTGTATCACATATTTGTATCATAGTTCAAATTGTCAGACTGCAAACAGCTTAATTGTGTGCAGCCGGCTGGTGTCAGCATTTTCAACACTCTGGTGTAAACCACAAGCTGCAGTACACTCACAGCTGCTGGCCTCAAGCCAGTGGGACACCTGCCAGTAAGAAAAAAAAAAAAAAGGTTAATGTGGATCTTTGTAATCACTGGCTCCATAAAGCAGTCTAACATGCTGTTACGAAGTTATACCAGCATGTCTGTAGATTGCTACTGATTCAAAACACTTTTACTTTTTGAACATATTGAAATCCTTTTACAGTCTCATACTTATCAACTAAACAATATTAATTGTAACTCCTACTATTTAAACTTTGATTCAAATTAAAAACTATAACTCAATTTTTACAACAAACAATATTTTTTAAAAATCTTATGAATTGCCATTATAGTTTCCATCTCATTGTATTCTAGTGATTACATGTGTCTTAAGAGTACACTGTAACAAGCTAAAATGAAAAACATATTTCTGCCAAAAGATATATAACATCTTTAAGGGAGAATTTTCATCATTTTGGATATGATCCTTCAAATACAGAAGCTCAATAAGGTTTTTTCTGTAGTTAACATGTAAGTATCTGAAGCTGAAAATGGAATTAAAATGTTTTCTGCAGCATAGTTTGCGCTGACAAACAAAGAAGGACTAGTTAGGGATGTGAAGGTTTGGTATAGCCTTGGTTGCAGTGACCATGAGATGGTGGAGTTCAGGATCCTGCGTGGAAGAAGCAGGGCAAAAATCAGAATTACAACCCTGGACTTCAGGAGAGCTGACTTTGGCCTCTTCAAAGACCTGCTTGGAAGAATGCCATGGGCTAAGGCTCTAGAAGGAAGGGGGGTGCAAGAGAGCTGGTTAATATTCAAGCACCGCTTCCTCCAAGCTCAAGATCAGTGCATCCCTAAGAGCAAGAACTCAGGCAAAGGAGGCAGAAAACCTGTATGGATGAGCAAGGGGCTTCTGAAGAAACTCAGATGGAAGAAGGTAGTTTACAGAATGTGGAAAAAGGGACTGGCCACTTGGGAGAAGCATAGGACCGTTGTCAGAGTATGCAGGGATGCAACAAGGAAGGCTAGAGCTCATTTGGCAACGGATGTCAAGGACGATAAGAAGGGCTTCTTCAAGTACATCAGTAGCAAAAGGAAGACAAGGGAAAATGTGGGCCCACTGCTGAATGATGTAGGTGCCCTGGTGATAGAGGATACATAGGAGGCGGTGTTACTGAATACTGCCTTTGCTTCAGTCTTTACTGAAGGAACCCTAGACCTTGGAGGTAAGAGAGAGGGCCTGGAGTAAGGAAGACTCTCCCTTGATTGAGAAGGATCGGGTTAGAGAACATTTAGAAAACTTGACACCCACAAATCCATGGGTCCTGATGGGATGCACCTGCGAGTGCTGAGGGAGCTGGCAGATGTTATTCCGAAGCCACTCTCCATCATCTTTGAAAGGTCATGGAGAACAGGTGAGGTGCCTGAGGACTTGGGAAAGCCAATGTCACTCCAGTCTTCAAAAAGGGCAAGAAGGAGGACCCAGGAAACTACAGGCCGGTCAGCCTCACCTTCATCCCTGGAAAGGTGATGGAACAGCTTGTTCTGGATGTCATCTCTAAGCATGTAGAGGAAGAGAAGGTTATCAGGAGTGGTCAACATGGATTCACCAAGGGGAAATCATGCTTGACTAATCTGATAGCCTTCTATGATGGCATGACTGGCTGGG